ATTTCTTGTATTTCATACTTGAGTACGGGTGCGTCACTCTGCTCAGGCTGGTCTCGAACTCCTGACCTTGAGTGATCCTCCCTCCTCGGCCTCCCAGAGTGCTAGGATCACAGGCGTGAGCCACCGCGCCTGGCCTTGGGCCTTCATTTCTTCATGCAAGCTCCCATGCCACCTAAAACTTATATTAAATAAATTGATACACTTTCCTCCTGTTGATCTATCTTACATCTGTTTAATTCTCAGGCCCAGGTGAAAAATCCTAAAGGGTGGAGGTAAAATTTCCCCTCCCCCTTGCAGTGAGAATGGCATTTTCAACAGAGAACAAACAGTAACTGAATTCAATGCAGATTTTATTTCCAACTAAATAAAGCAACGCACCAGTCTGGGCGACACGCTTAAGTCAAGGGGCAAAGGCCAGGAAACCATCGCTACACATGGCTGTCTTCCACATCTCCTCCCAGAAAATGTGGGGGGACAGACCTTAGGCAAAGAAACAGAGGAAAAGGGAAAAAGGGGAAGTGAAATTTATCGAGTGTGCCAGGGAAGGTGGTCTTTCCATCTTGTTTTCTAGAAAGTGCTCCATCAGCATGGTTCTTCCCGGATGATTTTAATATCATGACCATCTTCCCTGCAAATTGAAGAGCCAGATAAACACAATTATTAATCACCTACCCCACGGCCGCAAGGAAACTGTCTCACTATTTATTCATGGTGAAAAGACCCATGTCATTATACATTCGATTCCTTCCAGAGCTGCATTTACTTAATCATTTTTGAAGCTAAATCTAGGAAACAATGAGGAGTGAAAAAGTCTCCACTCTGCTAACCACCCCAGCCACCAGGGAATGACTCGAAGGTCAGAGAATGGACCCCTGCTATCCAAAGCCACACACTTGGAGAAGTCATGGTACCTGGTTAGGTGTATTACCTGAAGGCCATCGAGTATAACACTCTTATCATTTAGCATCCTACTAAGCAGAGTTAGTAAGTCCTAGTAGTAGTACCGGACTTCTTCTAGTAGTACTACTTCTAGTAGTACAGGTCACCTGCACGTGTCCTCTGAATTTAAAAGAAGATTTAATACTCTACAGAGTTTAACTATTAAACACTCTTAAAAAAAAATAAAAACAAAAAAACCAAACACTCCTAATTTAGGGAAATTCCCCATCCGATGGGATAATACGTATTTTTTATCTAGTCCTCGTTGATTATACCTACTTTTTGTCTCACTTGGACTGAAAATGCACTAAGAATTTTGCATTTTGGGCGGGAGGGGTGAGGGTACATTTTTTTAAATGTCAGTGTGAAAACTGAGACGACTTAAGTCACATTTGATTCTTTTTTTTTTGAGACGGTCTCTCTGTTGGCCCAGGCTAGAGTGAGTGCGTGGTGTCGCCTGCTCACAGCAAACCTACACTCCTGGGCTAAGTGATCCTCCTTCCTCAGTCCTCCGAGTAGCTGGGACTACAGGCAATGCGCACGCGATGCCGGTTATTTTTTCCTATATATATTAGTTGGCAACTTAATTTCTTTCGTATTTCTAGTAGGTAGACGGGGTCTCCGGCTCTTGCTCCGGTGGTTCTGGTCGAACTCCTGACCTGGCCATCCGCCCTCCTTGGGGCCTCCCAGAGTGCTAGGATTGTCAGGTGTGAGCCGCCGCCCGGTCAATTCGATTCGTATATACAGAAGAGTCCCGAACCCTAACGCCTCATTAAGAAAGAAATTTTAAGACGTGGCTTGGCGTAGTCTGTGCTGCGTGAGATCGGTTTACCTGGAGTGCTTCGCATGGCACAGAGGTACATTCCATTGGGATAAGTGGACATGTCGCTGCCACACACGGGGTTGTAGTCCCTGGGACATTCTGGTAACTTATACTGACCACAGTTTGGCTGGAAAAGAGAAATGGAGAGAAGAGATTAGAGAGATGACGTGTGTACGTTATTACAAAATAGCTAAAGGGGGGGGAGGGAATGTCTCCAATCTCCTCAGATTTCCTATAAATAGCCCACAAAAGTATTTCTATTTTCCCCCAAAAATGATCTTTCCAATGCAAAATTCAGATGCAATGTTAATGCAATGGTTCAATACATACTATGTAAAAATAATAATAATAAAGGGCCTCAGAGGGCTCGATCTGGCTGATATTTATTTATTTATTTATTTATTTTTGAGACACAGTCTTGCTCTGTTGCCCTGGCTAAAGTGCCGTGGCATCACTGTAGCTCACAGCAACCTCAAATTCCTGGTCCTCAAGCATCTCGCTCCTGCCTCAGGCTGCCCCTCCCAAGGGTAGCCTGGGATCATACAGCACCCCACCCAGGCTCCGGGGCCTAATTTTTCCTTATATGTTTTTACATTGGCGGCCCCAATTAATTTCTTCTATTTTGAGCTAGAGATGTGTGTTCCCTTTGTTGGGTGCTCGTGGTGCTCTTGCTCAGGGCTGGTCTCTGGAACTCCGCTGAATCAAGCGATCCTGTCGCAGGCCTCGACCTCCCATTGAGTGCCCCTAGGATGTTACAGGTGTGACGCCACCGCGCCCCCCCGGCCTTCGGGCGCGCTGGATTTTTAAATGGAAAGTCTAAGCACACGCAAGCCAGGGCGTTCCTACTTTACCTGCCGTCTAGACTCAATGATTCGCCGTCACGCAGAATGTGCCACGATGGCGTTCTACGCAATTCCACTTTAACCCCTGGCGCAAATCAGTGCCGCTGCAGGCAAACCTCCAGGCAATCTCATCTGTTTTCTGTACTATTAAGACACTGACAGTGTTTGGCGGCGCGCCCGGTGCTCGGCCTGATCATCCTAGCACTCTGCCGCGAGGGCCGAGGCGCCGAGGATTGCTCAAGCGGTCAGGCAGTTCTGGCAGACCAGCCTGAGCGAAGAGGCGGCAGAACCCCGTGCTCCACTACAAATAGAAAGAAAGTTAAATTGGCCAAAATATCATAGAGAAAAAATGAGCCGGGCATGGGTGGGCAGTGGCCTGGTAGTCCCAGCCCAGTCGGAGGGCTGAGGCGGAGATCCTTGAAGGCCAGGAGAGCCAAGGAATGCCTAGCTCTCCTTCCGGAGAAGCTGGGAGAGAGGCATGGATCCTCCCTCCCTCCTCATACCTTGACTTTGAACTTTGACCCTCCAGAACCGTGAGACGATCCACTTCTGCTGTTGAAGCCACCCACGTGCCGTACTTTGTGACAGCAGCCCTGGGCAGCTAATACGGGGTCTTGGAACTCGACCCTCCAGATTGACGGAATGGAGGCCAGAGAAGTGACAGGTCTTGCTCATGAGCCACCAGTCACCAGCTGGGCCAGCAGCAGGGCTGATCAGACTACGGTGTCCAGAGTCCCACTTTAACAAAAGGTTAAACATATGGCCTGCTCTTTTTCTGTTTTCATATACAGAAAACAATAGCCCCTTTAATAATCAGCCTCAAATGACCAGAACTTGATTACTAACTGACAGTTTCCCTAATTTAGTCTTCAAATCCAACTCAGAACCAACCAGAGACAGCCAAATATGCACCCTCTCCCCACCCCCAAACCATCCCATAGAATGCCAGCTTTCTATTTTTAGCAGAGACGGGGTGTTGCTCTAGCTCAGGCTGGTTTCGAACTCCTGACCTTGAGCGAATGCCAGCTTCTAGGTAGCTCACCTGCAGCTCCCCGGCCCAGCAGCCTCCCACTGGGGCACACCTGAAGCCTTGCCTTTAGTCCCCTAGAAATCTGTCCCAGTCCTCTGTCGTTAAGTCTCTACCCAAATGCAAATAATACTTGGCCGGCACCCTGGCTATAGCAAGTGCTCATGAATTAGCCTCTGCTCTTTCTCATTCGGTTGGTCTCAACAGAATTTCATTTATAAAGTACATAAAATGGGCCGGGCACGGTGGCTCACGCCTGTAATCCTACCACTGGGGGAGGCCGAGGCGGGAGGATCGCTCAAGGTCAGGAGTTCGAAACCAGCCTGAGCAAGAGCGAGACCCCATCTCTGCTAAAAATAGAAAGAAATTCATTGGCCAACTAAAAACATAGAGAAAGAAAAAATTAGCCGGGCATGGTGGCGCATGCCTGTAGTCCCAGCTACTCGGGAGGCTGAGGCAGGAGGATCGCTTGAGCCCAGGAGTTTGAGGTTGCTGTGAGCCAGGCTGACGCCATGGCACTCACTCTAGCCTGGGCAACAGAGCAAGCTTCTGACTCAAAAAAAAAAAAAACAAAACGTTAGTACAGGGCGTAACTATTAGGCCAATGACCTTCGGAATTATTGAGGGCAATATGAAAGCAAACAAAAGCCCTGAGGCCTCAAAGACTGAGTTATTTATTCTCTACTAAAATGTACACTTTGATCTATACCAGAATGCTCGCTTAAGAACCTGGTTTTTCTTTTTCTTTCTTTCTTTTTTTTATTTTTTGCTTATTTTCTTATTTCGTGGTCAATATCTGCAGAAGGAACCTGGTTTTGAAAGCAGTCAACGGTTTCCAAAGTGGCAGATCAGATCTGAAAATCAGGCCCCTACCCAAAGGGGCTGATTTGGGGCCGCACTGTATTAACAGAAATAATTCGAGTGATTTCCTACTTACTGCTCTGTATGATGCATGCTCACTCAATTCAGATTCCAAAGAGGCTGCAGGAAGAAAACATATTTTACGGTATGGGATCAAGGTGAGTTATTGTTCAGAAGGGTTTTTGAAAATCCAGTTTGGGATTTTCCAGGCCACAGGCCCCCACCCCAGCCCTCTAACAGGGACATTCAGTTTTTTCTGGCAGGCACACAGAAAGAACATTTGGTTCTGTTCTCACGCCGTTTGGTTTGGTTGAGAGGATTTCCAGGCTGGGGGGTAAAAGTTGGGGAAGTAACTCTTAATGCTCATGATCACTTTTTCCCCTGAGGTTCCGGGTAATCAATACAAAACTTAATTATTAGATATCAACATTTTACCTCCCTTTTAAAATAGGTTTCAGTATGCCACATAGCCCGTGGTAAAAGAAAGATAAAACGAAAGAACGTAAAAAATTTTTTAAAAAGTAAAGAAATTGGCCGGGCGCGGTGGCTCACGCCTGTCATCCTAGCACTCTGGGAGGCCGAGGTTGGCAGATGGCTCAAGGTCAGGAGTTCGAAACCAGCCTGAGCAAGAGGGAGACCCCCGTCTCTACTAAAAAAGTAGACAGAAATTAATTGGCCAACTAAAAATATATAGAAAAAATGAGCCGGGCATGGTGGCGCATGCCTGTAGTCCCAGCTACTGGGGAGGCTGAGGCAGGAGGATCGCTTGAGGCCAGGAGTTGGAGGTTGCTGTGAGCCACGGCACTCACTCTAGCCGGGGCAGCAGAGTGAATCTCAAAAAAGAAAAAAGCTCTCTTCAGCAGGAAAGCAGGGATAAAAAAAATAAAAAAAAATAAATAAAAAAAAAGAAAAAAAGGGGGGCAAAGAAATTGAAAAAGAAGAAAAAAGAAATTAGAAAATATATAAAAAAATAAAATAAGATCGGTTTGCAGGCTGCTTTCTCGGAAGCCTCCGCAGGTCCCGGTTCCTGCACACCTCGAGGCTCAGCAGGGCCACTGGGCACAGAAGCCCCGACCCCGGGGCCTGGCCACCAGGGAAGCCCGCGTTCAGGGCGGCACGGCGGGTCGCGGGGACAGGAGCCGGCGGGGCGGGCCGGGCGGGGGTCCGGGCGGTCGCGGCCCCGCAGGCCACCGCTCGCGTTCGCGGGGAACCGCCAGTAACGGGTCGCGGGGACGTGGCCGAGGCGGCCGGGCGGGGAGGCCCGGCGACCCCGACCCCGTCGCCGTCCGCGGGGGTCGCGCCGGCCGGCCGGGGAACGACGGTTACCTGCAAAGACCTGGGCCAGGAGCAGCCGCGCCAAGCGCCGCGCCGCGAGCGCCATCCTCTCGGCCGCCGGGCGCAGTGGGGACGCGGCGGCGACACGAGGCGGGGGGCGGGCGGGCGGCGCGGGGCGGGGCCGGAAGGCGGGACGGGAGGGCCGGGAGGGACACAGGTGTGGGGGGGAGGGGGCCGTGGGAAGGAAGCGCGGAGGGAGGCAGAGGAGGCTAGAGGTGGATGGTGGAGGCTGCAGGTGGAGGAAGCCTCTACCGCCCTGCATGCGTCCCCTCCCGCTCCAGCAAACAAGAAAAGAGCCTTTAGGTTTGCGCGGTGGCTCACGCCTGTCATGCCAGCTCTCTGGGAGGCCGAGGAGGGAGGATCGCTTGAGCTCAGGAGTTCAAGACCAGCTTGAGCAAGAGGGAGACCCTGTCTCTACTAAAAAAAAAAGATAGAAAGAAATGAGCTGGACAACTAAAATAGATATATATAATAAAAAAATGGGCCGGGCATGGTGGCACATGCTTATAGTTCCAGCTACTTGGGAGGCTGAGGCAGGAGGATCGCTTGAGGCCAAGAGATTGAAGTTGTTGTGAGCGAGGCTGAGGCCCCAGCACTCTAACCTGGGCAACAGAGTGAGG